GATGTAGTCATAAGAGCATGTGATAACACTTTTGGCTTTTGGCATGGTCCACAAAAATGGTAAAGTGAGAGAAGCAAAGTATTGGTGGGATAATGAAATAGCACAAAAAAGAGAAGAATGCCTAACTATCAGATGTAGAATAACCAGGGAAAATAGAAAGTACTATAGAGCAAATGGAACAAGGAATAACGTTGATGCTTGAGTAAAAAAAACATTATCAATATGCCAAACAAGAGCTAGAGAAGCTCATGATGAAGTCTAAACAGAGGCTGTGGAAATACTTATTATATAAAGCTAAAACTCACAGACAGACCTGGATACTGAACAACAAATAAAAATTGCAGATGGATTGTTCCCGAGGTGCTCACCCACCGAATGGAAATTTGAAGAGACTGGACGTAGCAGAGTTCACCATGAGAGAGTCGGAAGAAGCTGCAACTTGAAAACATCAGGACTAGATGAAATACCAAATGAGATCGTGAAAGCGCTGATTAAAGAGATATCCGAAATCGTGCTGTCTGTGATGAATGACCGTTGCTCTAAATTGAACTGAAACGACTGCACATTGTGCACATACGAAACTAGTTCTCAAATTCTGCCAATTAAGTTATGTTGTACTTTTGGTATCTTGTTGTTATGGCCAGCGTTTTAAACCACAAGTTGAAACCACACAACCTCAGCAGTTTGTCTATTTTCAAGCGTATATTTACAAATAGCATAATAAATCTGCTACAATATTATGTACTGAAGTAACTCTCCTGGCTAGTTCGATTCTACTCCAAGCTGTCGATATGGCAAATTAAATCTCTCAGTACATATTGCAGACTTAAGCATATTTTTAAGCGCTGTCAAAATGTGATGCCTAATGCTGACAGCATTTTGGCGGTCCACTTTACCTCCGTCTAGCAGTCACCCAAAGACCCTACTACCTGACCTGTCTACCTCCGAGTTGATATTCCACACCTTCCGACACAACACATGCTGACGACGCTGTGCATGCCAATATGCGACAAATGATTCGATAATTGGTCAGTGATAGCAATGTGCGTACATGACGCCCGCTCTGTACCGTGATGCGACCGGTTATGCTCCATAAATGCGTATTAGATATTAGAATATTGTTTGTGGTCTATGCTATGCGATGAATGTACGGTGTATTTTTAATCTCTAATATTTACTGGGACATCCTTTTTTATAATTATCATTTCAACATAATACCTCGCAAGAGCCACAATTAAACACATGGCATCCTAAAAGCATGCGCTGTGCCAGTTGTGTGTGTCCATTTGATTGTTGTTAAAATGTTGTCCTTCAGCTCACGAAAAAGTTGTTTCGTCTTGAACAATACTTTCACTTTTACATGCAATCTTGATTGTATTTGAAACCAAAACACTTATTAATTCCTTCGCTAACATAATAACAGGAAACTGTGATTCTTTAGACCCCACATTCAACCATATACAAGTAATCCTTCATATCATGAAATAGACTGAAATATTTTATTAATTGGCGACAGGGATTGCCAATGAGCAGTTGCCGCCGTTCGCATCTTCTATCTCAATTTACTATACTTAACCTCCGGCGCCGCGGTGTGACGTAAGAATGATGTCGTCACAATCACTCGACCGAACGCTGCCAGATTGCGATAAATTACAGATATTTACTGAACTTATATCTAGTTAATCTGGCAATAGTCGTTGGGTTTTGGTTCTTAGAAAGTGTTATTTTTACATGAAACCGTATAAAGTTGAGTACTTATCTGTACGATATGATGGTGAAATGTAGATCTAGATACCAACAAAATAAAATCGGCAGCAGGGATTAGATGGTATTCAAAATCGATTGAAAAAACCTTCTTGCAGTCCGTCAGAGAGATATAAAAAGATGAAACTGGAAACTGAGGTATCCCAAGAAGGCTCATGTGAGGTTGAGTTGAATAAAGAGTTGCAGTATTCTGATGAGAAATTCAAACTGCTCAAAGTTTACTACAATTATTTAACCTAGGCCAAAACATAAGTGAAAGTGGAATTGATGGTGTTATTCAAAATAAGCAACTTTCAGTTCGTGATTCTGAAATCAAGACTGACAAAATATCAACACTATCAGCAACAGACCTAGTGCTTTAAGAAGTTTCACAGGAACCAACAATTTTGAAATCTTTGAATGCATAGTGGCAAAGGTGGGAGAATTGGTTTAGGATATGAGATCTCATAGGCTTAGCATGCGTGAAAGAATACTTCTCATAATGACAAAATTAAAATTAGATCTCAGTTGTCACATTAGGTGTGTTATTCAGTATTTCTATCCAATTATGTAAAAATATTTTTTGACATTCTTTTTGTTTTGAGCCTTTAGAACAGGGTTTCTTAAGCGGAGGTTCGCGAACCCCTAGGAGTTCGCGAGCTATATGAAGGTGGTTCGCGAAAAAATTATGGTAATGTTGCAACATCGCCGCTACAACACACTCATTCTTGGGTTTCCGATTTGGGTCCAACACAGGGTGGCGATATTGAAAGAATAAAAGTAATGAGAAAATAGACGAGCATAGGGAAAAAAAAGGAAAGAAACGAAAATACGACTCTGTCTATTTGTAAATGGGTTTTTATTTCACCGGGGCAGAGTCAGAACCTGAACCGCTCGGTGTAATTTGTAATGGAGTCCTAGCCAACAGTAGTTTAAAATAATACTGGACAACAAATTTTAGTTTTTTAATTGTATCTTGTGGGAAAAGTGCACTTCTTTGTTAATTTTGGGGCGCTGAATCCAAAAATGACAATGAAATAAAAAAATTAGTTGCGGTTTAGAAAAAAAACTTTTTATTTTTAAGGATATATTAAAAAAAGTAACAAGATTCATATACTTATAAGAATCACTATATGCGCTGTCTTTTTGCTGTTCTTTTATGGATCGTTTCTGGAGCATCTTTACCAAGAGTCCAACAGTAGTCTGCAAGCATGGAAGGATTCCACTTTCCCTGGTACCTTTTTTACATTGTTGAAATATTCTGATGAAAACGTTCGCCGTGCTCATCACTTACGGCTCCGCAATTGTCAGGAAAAAAGTCCAGGTGTGAGTGTAGGAAATGTATCTTAAGAGACATATTACAGCCCATCTTTTGATACGATGACAGCATATTTTTGACAAGTGTTTTATAGTTGTCAGCTTTTCTATTTCCCAAGAAATTAGTGACCACCAGACGGAAATCATTCCAAGCAGTTTTTTCAATACCTGTTAAAGTGTTTTCAAACTGTGTATCTTTCAAAATATTTCGAATCTGTGGCCCAACAAAAATACCTTCTTTAACATTTGCCTCACTTAGTCTTGGAAATTTCTGACGCAGGAATTGAAAAGCTGACCCATCTCTATCTAATGCCTTGTCAAAGTTTTTCATTAGGCCCAACTTGATATGCAGTGGTGGTAATAAAATTTTTTTCGAATCTACTAATGGCATATGCTGTACATTTTTTTGACCTGGCTCTAGGAATTGACGAACAGGCGAGTTTTGTCTGGTGTAATGAAGTGCCTTTGCCCGACTGTCCCATTCACACAAAAAACAGCAAAACTTTGTGTAGCCTAGCTGCAGCCCAAGTAAAAGTGCAACAACTTTCAAATCGCCACAAATATGCCATTGGTGCTCATCGTATTTTATGCATGTCAATAGGTACTTCATATTGTCATATGATTCTTTCATGTGAACTGCATACCCTACAGGAAGAGATGGTAAAACATTTCCAATATGTAATAACACTGCCTTTAAACTCAATGTTGAACTGTCTATAAACAATCTCCATTCTTCTGGGTCATAGTTTATATTTAAAGCCGCCAGTAAACCGTTAATGTTACTGCAGAAAACCAAGTTATTCTCCATATTGAAAAAAGTTTTTGTGGCGTTTACGAAAAACACATACCGAAACATCGTCTTCTAACAAGTTCCACTGCTGCAGTCTTGATCCAAGTAACTCTGCCTTACATTTTGGAAGTTCCAAATCTCTTACAAGATCATTTAATTCTGACTGTGTTATTTTGTGCGGTTGGTGGCATGACGTGCTCGGTATAAAATCAGGATCTCTTGACGTTGATGGCATATCTTCTTCCTGACGAATCACTCGATCGCCATGATCTGATTCGTTTTCTGATTCGCAAGTGTAGGATTCTGGGGGTTTTGGAATAGGATTTTCGTCACTGTGAGGCACAGGTCTCATCGCAGATGGTATGTTTGGGTAATTAATAACCGATTTTTTTTTCTTGGACATACCTGTGGCTTGTCCAACACAAGGTACCATGCAAAAGTAACAATCGTTAATATGATTTGTAGGCTCTCTCCAAACCATTGGGACAGCAAAGCGCATAGACCGTTTTTTGCCATTTAACCAGCTCCTCAGACTTGAAGCACATGTATTACAGCAGATGTGGTGTGCCCACTGTTTGTCTTGATCACCTAGTTTACAACCGAAATAAAGCTGATATGCCTTTGTTATTAGTGGAGTAATAGACCGTCTCTGAGACGCAAAAGTCGCATCACCACACACGTAACAAAACTGATCTGGATTGTTTACACACTTTCGAGACATCTTGCATGAACGCTGTCAGCCAACTGAGGAAAAAATGGCTAATATAAAACAATATAATGTACACGTATGTATAACGTAACACAATCATGCCGATTACATCATCTTTCCTTGCCGAATATAAAAATGTAGCACGTGCATTCTTGTGAATTACAGTATATTAACACTGTCACAGCAGGAACACATATAATTACCGTATCTCTAAAACTTGAACTAATATTGAAAAAATAAGTTTCATTCCGGTTTTAGCACATTAAAAATAGTAATATTTTGTTGATTTTATTTAGGATATTTTTTGGCTGTTGATCAGTGTAATCGCTTCTTCATCGGCACCTTGAGACAAGACATCCGGATTACAAGGATAAACCTATTGAATATTTTAAAAGGAAATTGGAAGGTAATACGAAATGTAGTGTTTCTTCTTTCCTGTAGACTTTCAACGCAGATAGTACAATGGCTCTTGAAGCATCATTTCTAGTTAGTTACAGATTTGCAAGATCTGGAAAAGCTCATACAGTGGCAGAAAATTTGATCGGACCTTGTGCTAAAGACATCGCAAAGTATGCTTAGAGAAAAAGCGGCAAAAAATTGACCTTGTGCCCTTATCAAACAGCACAGTGTCACGGAGAATGAACAATTTGGAGAACAGTGTTGAAAGTGATCTTTTGAAAAGCATAAAATTGAATTATTTTGATATTCAGCTTGGCGAGTCGACCGATGTATGTTAGCACACTGTGCATTGCTCGTATATATGTTAGATATACCATATTTTTAAGAATTCCATTCAAGATGTGTTATTTGCAAAACCACTGGAAACTTATACGACTGGTGCAGCAATTTTTAATCTGATCAATGACTATCTTGAAAAACATCAACTGGTCATTTTGCTTAGGTGTATGGTGCAAAATCCATGACTGGAACATATTCTGGCACGAATAAAGAAGATCAACGAGAATATAGAATGGACTCACTGCTGTATTCAGAGGCAAGCATTGGTATGTAAGCGTACTCCTGCAGAGTTATCCAGTACTTTCAGCGAAGCTGTAAAAGTTGTGATTTTTATAGTCCCGTGCTACAAATTCTCGTCTATTCTGGAACATTGTGAGGACTTGGGAAGTCTCCACGTCTCTTTATTACTTCATACATAAGTTAGGTGGCTTTCTCGTGGTAAAGTTTTGACCCGCTTGTTTGAATTGAAGTCTGAAGTTCAGGCATTTTTTCTTGACCATCCATTTCATTTGTCCGCTTCTGTAACCGACATTCTGTGGCTCTAAAAACTCGCATACTTAGCCGATATTTTTGCTAAATTAAATGGACTGAATAATATGTCTTTTCAAGGTCCAGGAATCACCATTTTCAATGTTCATGATATAATAGAAGCCATGCCAAAGGAGTTCAACTTTTGGAATCAATGTCTGCAGATGAATGAGTACGATCGTTTTGGTTCTCTCAACAGCTTTTTATCAGAGAATAAAATTAAACTTAACGGAAACATTAAAAGAGATATTACTGAACATCTCAAACAGCTTCAATTAACGGTCAAAGAGTATTTTCCTAATAAACCTGGATCAAACAACTGGATACGCAATCCTTTTGAAGGAGATATAATTTCTAACACTTCTTTATCTTTATCGGAAAAAGAAAAGCTCATTGATTTATCCTCTGACAATTCTGTAAAAGCTGTTTTTGCAGATCATTCTTTCATAGACTTCTGGATCAATGTAAAAAATGAATACCCGATCTTAGCAGAAAAAGCCATGAACATTTTGTTTCCGTTCTGCACAACGTATCTGTGTGAGAAAGGATTTTCAACATGCACTTACCTCAAAGATAAGTACAGAAATAGATTAAATGCAGAACCCGATCTAAGACTCAAGCTTTCTGAAATTGAACCAAATTTTGAATTTCGTTGTACCAACAGGCACAAATATCCCATTGAGGACTTTTGCAAGTATCGAATTACTTGTATTCATATTATATTAATCCTTTTTTTTGTAAGGCTTAGTTAGTTTTAAAAACGTTTCCCTAAATGTTTTACGTTACAGTTATGTTTTAATTTACTTTGCTCATTATAACTATTATTAATATGATTAATAAATTTTGATAACAGCCAAATAGTAATGTTTTATTTACTCTCACTAACGACTTCTTAGGGGGTTCGCCGATATATACCAATTTTTATAAGGGGTTCGCAGAAAGAAAAAGGTTGGGAACCGCTGCTTTAGAGCCTTGCATCTACTTCTCTCCTGCTGAAGAAATATCTAATAATGAACCTAAATGTTTTCGAGATTTTCAAAATTGTGGAGTTGTTTTAGATTGTACATAAATAAATATCCAAAAACCAAGTTGTTACTGCATTAAGTTTTACTTTCAGTATAAAAAACAGACAACAGTTAAGTTCATGACTCGAGTTTCTCCTGCTGGTTTTACTACTTTTGTGAGTAAAGTGGTGACCGTGCATTTAACAAAATCGGGAAGCCATTGGTGGATAAAGAGTTTCTTATAGATGATATTTGTGCTACACATAAAATTAAGTTAATTAGCCACCCTTTCAGCCGAAGAGGCTCGTCTTAATCAAGAAATGGCTTCAACACGTGTTCATATTGAAAGATCAAACTCATCAATTACTACTAAACTGCTATCAAATGAAGAGAATAAAAATACATATGACTTCATCAGATTCTGCATAGTCATTCAAAATTGTATTTGACCATAGTATTTATGTTTCTTTTTAAACACAAAGTTTCAATTTTCGTTTTAAACAAAATTGCATGACTTGATGGCTTCTCCAATGGATGATGTTTTACCGTGGTATATTTTGTTAAAAAAATATGTAGAGCTATTTAAAAACAATAAAAACAAGTTAGTATACCTGAATAAAAACATTTAATTTCCAATAATGCAAGCGGTTTCCCTTTTTCATCTATTACAACACCATCTGGTGAGAAACCTAACCATTCAGTATTAAGTTAGTCGAACTTTATTATAAACTCAAGTAGCTTCACAACGATTGAAGATAGGTATACACTTTATTATACAAAAGTTACTAAAAACTTCCTGGAAAATCTAAAAATTAAAAATATAGGAGTTTCCATTTAACAATCTAAAGTGTAACGCAATATCTTATTTTTGGATCACCCTGTATTGTGCGGATATAGATGAAAAGACGTCCCCCTAGAAATCAAAATTGACGCGTCCGAGCGTTTTTCCCAAAATATACCAGGAGAGTCACAAATGAGAGTGCGACCTTTTCACTGGGCCACCCTGAATGGTACTCAGCGAACAATATGATATGATTTGTGATGACATGGAAATTCCAAGTCTCTCACTTCCATTAGCTGGTTTATAGGCGATTTTCTCCGTCCGAAACCTCAGCAACCGTTTCAACGTTTTTAGTGGAAAGGGAGTTGTAAGGAATGCTGGTTTATGAGGTGATGGTTGATGTGTTATTAAATGCTTTTTCAAGTAACTCGAAATATTTCCCCAAAAAGTCAATGGCGTAGGGAATATATTTAATAGGACGTCACTTTTTCTACAACATTCGTCTAGTTTGAACCAAAAATATTTGTGTGTATATGGCTTAAGCTGATCTCACTTCGGGTCAAAAATGTTGAGTCAATATTTTTATCCGTTACGTAGATATATTTGGTTTTCAATTTCGTAAATACAAGTTGTGATTCAACTTCACTTTCCTGTATCTTGACAAGAGGGTCTTTTTGGTATTAGATTCATAGGAAGCTTTAATAGTAATTTAAAAAAGTTAACTTTCAAGGTAGCTACTATACATTCTATCAATTTTTAATTTCTTTCATCATAATGATTGATTGGATCTTCAATATCTCTTCGGCGCGCCTCTATTGCCAATTTTATTTGGGTATTTTCTGGTGGAACACGTTATACTCAATGTCTCAAGATACACAATTAAAATAGGCATTACACACGCGCTAAACAAGGGTTGAAGATGCTAGCACCATTTTTAATAACGTAGTAGAGCCAGTCTAATTCTTTTCTTCAGAAAGCGAAAGTCTGCCATAGATGTGCTTAGTGCAGTGGCACAGCTGGCGAAAGTAGCGGACAGCGGCAGTTACAGTAGTAAGAAGCTTTGCGTTATGGTTGCTTTTGACGTTAAGAATGCCCATGGGAGTGCCACAGGGCTCCGTCTTAGGGCCGCTGCTCTGGACCGTGTTCTACGATGGGGTTCTTCGGTTGTTGCCGCGAATTCGCTTGGTAGGGTATGCTGCCGACCTTGCGATGACAGTGACTAGCAAGGAGAGATATAGACTTGAAGGACTCTTGGCATACGGAATCACAAGAATTACTATGTGGATAGAAGAAAATGGCTTGAAATTAGCTCCTGAGAAGACAGAAGTAGTTATACTTTATGGCAGACTAAAGCTAACTTCATTAGCTGTTAGGGTTGATAATTCAGAGATTCGGAGCCAAAATGCAATTAGGTATCTGGGTGAGTGGCTTGACAAAAATCTGAAAATGATTGAACATAAGTATAAGGCGCACCACTGAGAAGGTAAATAAGGTCGTTGCATCTCTGACGGAGGCCTCAGAACTGAGAAGCGCAGGACTTTGGCAGGGGTGGCGAACTCGATTATGCTGTACGGACTTCCCACCACGGATTTATCAAAAACCCACTGATTAAAAAAAATTACGAGACACGTCAAAAGATTTGTCAAGGGGACCACTTTTTAACCAAAAACTACTTCACCCCCTTTCACCCTCGGCCACCCAGGATCATTCCCTTAAACATTTTAAATGACAAGGGGTGTCGAGTAATAGCTTGTTTGAAAGGTCTTTCGAAGTCCTTTATTTTGATGTTTGATATTTTTAAAATCAGCCCATTCGTTTTCGCGAAAATTAGAAAAATCTTTATCTTAATTTGTCGAGATACAAAACAAAAACACACGAAAATATCACTTTTTATTTCAATAAGTGTTCAAAATGTTGCCCGTTAGGGTTGGCTAAATCTACAGTTCGTTTATAATTTAAAACGGAAACTACCAACATAAACAGCAATTCGGAAGATTAGACGTGGCATCAACCAAATAACCCGAATTTTATTTATTGTTATACTTGTTTAGTTATTTGGGAAAGGGAAATAAATAATTTAATTTGCTGAGAGTTACCTTTGTGAAAAATAATTTTTTGATGCAGATTTTACTTCCAAAATGGTTTACACACTAGCGGAAAGAGTGGAAATAATTCTAATTTATGGTGCACAAAATCAGTGTGCTCGGCAAACGCCAGTCATAAGGGGAAGATAACTTCGCATAGTAGGTATGTTTTGGACCTTGTTATAAATTTACTAAAACTAGATCTGTTGCAAATAAAAAACGTGATCATCGGAAAGTTTTGAATAAAGCAGCTCAAGTTGAAGTTTTGGTTCATTTTGGAATAAATTCTAATACTTCATTATACAAAATTGTTGCTGCGACTGGTATTTCATTGGGCTCTGTACACACAGATACTAAATTCCATAAATTTCATCCATTCAAAGTGAAAATATTGTAAGAGTTAACCTGAGATTGTTTTGAAAGGCGAGTTGAGTTTTGTGAACAAATGACTGCAGCGATTAATGATAATACCATTCATGTAAAGAATATCTGCTTCAGTGATGAATGCACATTTTATCTAAATGGATTTGTTAATAAACATAACTGCAGGTAGTGGAGCAATGAAAATTCTCATGCTTTTGTAGACCGGTGTGAAGTTAGCAGCCAGTTTCTAGCAGCCAATTCTTCGGGGCATTCGCGTGAAGTTAGCAGCCAATTTTCAGCAGACATTTTTTTGTACCAACTACTTACTTTTTAATGATTGCATCTTATTTCTAGCTAATTTTAGCAACTGACCGCCTGAAAAAGGGTAGTTTACCCTTAGTGCAAAAATGTTTAGAAAGGGGTAAGCAGCTTTTCAAAAAAAGCTGAGACCATTGAGGAGTAATAAAAATGAATAAAGCGCGTCATTTATATGTAGACGTAGACGTCAGATTGTTGTTTTTTTCGTTCCTGAAGTAGGTGTAGTTTACAAGCTTAAAATAAATGAATAGTGTTTTACTAGTAGCTTTTGGGTCATTTCTTCGGACCCGTCGAAGGGGTGGACTTCACCCCTTGAACATGAAAAATGTGTTTTTGCATTT